CAATCCCCAAGCAGTGCCCACTCACCACCTGCTTGTTCTGCTGCAGCAGCGGACAGGACAAGCCCAGCTGGGGGCTGGCGTAGACAGGCGTCAGGGTCACCCTGGAGGGTGTGGCACACACAAACTTCACCACAGCAGGCTCCAGCGCAGGGAAGGGGTTGGTGATGCTGGGCTTGTTCCCCACTGAGAGGGCAATGACCTGGCAGAGCACAAGGAGCAGTCAGACATCCCCAAATTTGAGGCTCGGCTCCACTGTACACCTCACCTGGCCACCCAGCTCCATGGGACTCAGTGTGCTTTTCTGCAGAATGGGAAGGATAATGACATCTACATCATGGGGTATGGGAAGGGGTGGGACCAAAAGTCCAGTGACATAGGCATGGGAGATAGGAGCCCCTAGTGCCCTCTACAGACATCAGCCAGAACCACTGCCCAGGAAAGAGGTGGACTGGTGGCACCACATGGTTTCCCAGCATCCTATGAAAACCCCAGGTTGCATGAACATATTCCCAAGTCTGGGTTGTTAAATGAAGAGTCCACCCTGACTTGAAAACATTCATCACAACGAGGTACAGGTGTGAAGAGAATGTGTGCTACCGGACTGAGACCTGTGCGGGGACCAGAAAAGAGAGTGGTCCTGACCCCCTAATGACACACTCTGTAGGAAGGCATGGTCTGGTCCAGAGCCTCTCACCCTTCCTGACCTTTGGGCAGGACAAAGGGCAGTTTCCACGCTGACCCGCAGGGTTTCTGCCTACAGCCTGACACCCCAAGAAAGTAATACACAGACCAGTAGAGTGGGCAAGCTGCCCTCGATCCACGTGATTCCAACCCTCAGGGGTTCCAGTGACAGACACTTGTTCAGTCTACCAAGTCTCCTAATTTCTTGGTTTTCAACATTAAAAAAGAAAATAAAAATTGCCTGGCCAGTGTGGCCCAGTGGTTGAGCTTCAATCCATGAACCAGGAGGTCATGGTTCAATTCCAGGTCAGGGTGCATGACTGGGTTATGGCTCAATCCCCAGTGGGAGGCATGCAGGAGGCAGCTGATCAATGATTCTCTCTCATCATTGATGTTTCTATCTCTCCCTCTCTCTTCTCTCTGAAATCAATAAAGACATATTAAAATAAATAATAATAATAAATAAAAATTAAGAGATTTCACAGAAAAAAGTATTGGGATTCCCAGATTATCATGAAATACCAAAAAGATCTGACAAATGTGGCCCTGTGACTTCACTCTTTACAAGACCTGCCTGCCCCTGGAGGCATCTGACTGTGCCCCAGATCTTAGCTCAGCCCTGATTTGGTAGTGGGGAGTGTTGAAGCCTGGAGAGAAAAGAGGTCACCAGGTTGTTGAAATGGAGCCAGGACTGACTAGCTCTATCAAAGCCAGCACGTATAGGAAGGGGGTCCCAACCGCATACCCTGCTAGATCTGCTTGCATTCACTATATCATTCTACCTCACTGATCCTCATCTATCTGTGAGATGGGTATAGCAGCAGCAGCTATCTCTCAGGTATAGCAACAGAGCCTTCTGCTCTATATGTGAGATGGATATAGCAGCAGAGCTGGGTATAGAACTGACTGAACAGTTTGATAACAGCCATTTTGATTAAATAAAATGATGCTGTGAATACAGCAGGGTCCTCCCTCTGGGCAAGGTGATCTGGAGGCGGCTGTCCTCTCACCTGTTCGCCCAAGGCCTGGCAAGTCACGAGGATCCAATGTTGCTGGTAATTACGGGAGGCAGGGGGCCCAAGGAGAGCCAGACTGATGCTGTGAGTGTCCTCAGAGGTGACATTTCGGAAGAACTTGGATGGCTCCAGGACCCAGGGCCTGGGACCTCCTTCGAACAGCATCTCCTGTGAGGAGCCGAGGGTCACCAAGGCAACAGAGGAGGGGTTCACAGCCTGTGGGAGCAAAAAGAAGAGTCAGTACCTTCCTCTGAGAGGCACGTGTAGAGGCCTGCCCTGCCCTATGGAGGCCATATAGCCCCGCTCCTGGTGCTCATTGGCAGCACTGCCCGTGCTGTTGGTGCAAACGTGCTCTGAGGGGAATTCTGTCCTCCTCTGATACTGCTGGAGTGAAGGGAGCATAAATTGATCTGCTTCTTTTGTAAAACAATCCAGTAAAGGCCTTGAAAATGCTGTCCTTGACACAGGAACTTCCCGTCTGGAATCTAACCTAAGGACAGTCTAGGAAGGAGGGAAATGAGCTCATGCAGAGAGGCTCACACATAGCCATTTCCTACTGCAGATGCCCAGCGCGGGGCTGCGTGAGTGCTTGGTGCATCCACACAGTGTACAATCCCAGCCAGGCTGCAGGAGTGCCTCGAGCATTGCGATGGGGCCTGTGTGGGTCCCTAAGGCAGAGCTGGGTATGGAACTGACTGAACAGTTTGATCACAGCCATCTTGTTTTAAAAAGCATGAAACAATTCTAAACAGAAACACACCAGACGACCAGGGGAAACACAGACTGGTGTCATTGAGGGCATAATTCAGAGAGGTTTTTTTCCTCACTTCTTTCTCCACTGCATTTCTTGCACTTCCTTCAATGTGTCCATGAGCTTTGAGGAACAAGCCTTTCTGCCGTTTTGCTCCCAGCACCTAGAACAGTGCTTGGCACAGAGTAGGTGTTCAATTATTTGTTAAGTGAAAGAGTGAATATTAAGTCCTCAAAGTACCCAATCTACAAAGAATAAATTAAAGTAATTTTTAAATATTTTTATTTATTTATTTACAGAGAGGAAGGGAGAGGGATTGAGTTAGAAATATTGATGAGAGAGAAACATCGATCAGCTGCCTCCTGCACACCCCCTACTGGAGATGTGCCCGCAACCAAGGTACATGCCCTTGACCGGAATCGAACCCGGGACCCTTCAGTCAGCAGGCCGACGCTCTATCCACTGAGCCAAACCGGTTAGGGCAATTAAAGTAATTTTTTACAAAAAGCTCTTATCTGCTCTCACGGGCTAGGGTGACCGTGTGCTGCGGGCCCTAGGGGTTCCTGCAGGGATAGTGGCAGTGCTGAGAAAGGATGGAAAGCTGGTGGAAAGGATGTCATTCCCATCTCACAGCGGGTTTGCTCCACATGAGGACATTTCCCTCTACAGACATAGCTGGGGTGTGAGGAAGCAGGGAGTCCTGAGGGCCCTGCAGCCCTGCTCTTCTGCCCCCTGCCTGGGCTGCTGAGCTCCTGCTCCAGGGGATCCACAGGGTTAGCACCCAGTCCTGACTTGTGAGCCTGCTTCCCTGCTAGTCACTACAGTCTGCCCTCCGAGAGCTGCCAGGTATTCCTTCCTAAACACAGACCGTGCCCTCTCCGCATTAAATGGTTCCATAGTGCCGGTCGCCCTGGGAAGAAAGGCTGAGCTAGCATTTTACCCTAGGATTCAGGCTCTCCCAGCCTGGCCCTCGCCTATCTCTCTCAAGCCCCACCTTCAGTCTGTCCTCAGGCTATCCTGTGCCCCCTGCCCACTCCTTCCTCTAAAAAGCTCCTGCCTCATCCCTCACCAGGTGACCCTCAACCTGCCAGGTAGGTGGCTCATTCTTGGGTTCCTGCTTCGAGTGTTGCTCAATCATATTGGGAGGAAAGGATTTGTTTGGGTATCTATCTCCTGATCAGGCTGTGGGCTCATTAAGAGTAGGGAAATATGTGTCTGTTTCCTTCTGTATTCACAGCATGATCTCAACCACATGAGAAATAAAATATCATATAGGAAAAATTAAAATATTAAAAAAAACAAGAACGTACAACCACACTGTGATATTTTTCAGCCATCTGATTGATACAAGTCCAAAAGTTTGACGCTCTAGCAAGCACACTGCTGGTGGGTAGATAACAGTGTACTCTTTTCCAAAATTAGTTCATTTTGGCCCAACACACGTGCCTTCCACTGCAGTGTGCCAACCTCTGCCGTGGCCCCCTGTCTGCGGTGTCTGCCGACCATGCAGAGCCTGACTTCTCTCAGCTCCGTCCATGCTCTCACCCCTGGACTATGTCCAGATCTGCCAACAGCCTATAGTCCTTGCAGGTACAGGCTAATAACCACTCAGCTGTCCCTCACAGTCCTGGACCCAGAGCAGTGCCCCAACCAGATGCCACCTAAGGTGGAAACAAACTCCCACCTGAATGGCAGCTTTATATGCACACACTCTCAAGAATGGGGTAGGGCTAGTGGCTAAGGTGATGATCTGCTGAGGCCTATAGGTGCAGGCTCGCCTAGTTGGCTTTTCACAGTATACTCTTAGCAAAAAAAGGGTATTACTTCTCAATGAGAATTCTCTCCTTTTGAATTACTTTTTGCAATATGAACACTTTTCTGGTTTGAACAGCCAACAATTCCCCATGCATCCCCTCCCTGCACATGTGCACAGGTCTGCTCAAACGTCACCTCCTCAGAGAGGCCTTCCCTAACCCCATCCAAAGCAGGACCTCCCAACACTGTTACTTCCTTCCCTTATCACTATCTACCATCACTTTCTATGTTTATTGTCCATCTGCTTCTCTGTCCCCACAACGGGAACAACACTGCCACTTGCTCAGTCTCTCATGCTGTAAAATGAGCATGAGAAGAGCTCCTGCTTTGCAGGGTTATTGCAGCTTCAAGGGAGTGGGAATGAACACATCCAGCACAAGCTCAGTTAACAGTCTTTGCTATTATCACTGTCATTAGTACGAACTGTCATCCCATTTTACAGATGGAAAACATGAATCCCAGCAAAGAAATTTACCCAAGTTTACCCAGCTATTCTGGCTTCAGATGCCCTGCTCTTGCCCATGTCTCAATGCCACAGTCTGCAAAACTCTGCTGTGGGTAAAGCAGGCCACTGCAGACATCACCAAAGGAAGTTTTCATGACCAACCCAAAGGGAAAGGTTGTGCAAATGAACCAGATGCCCTGTAACCAACAACCAGAGAACTAGGAATTATCACTTTCACACGGAATTCCATTCTCATTCGGCATAAAAGTGTCACAGAAATCTATGCCAGGGAGATAGGTCAATAACCAACACCACTAATGAGGGACACTCAGAAATCGTACAGGCTCCTTAGTACGCATCAAAGTGCAGATATTAAAACAGGCAAAGCCAGGGACTTGAGTGCCCATGTAGCTAGAGCGAGGTCTCCACCCTGGGCCTCCTTTTCTTGTTTTGCAAAACAAGAAGATGGGTCTGGCCATCAAGAGGCCCTTAGTGCTGGCAATATATGTTTCTAGGAGATAGAACAGATGCACTTTTTTGTAGGGTACTCACAGCTGGTGTAGGATGAAGAGGCAGAAGGCCAGGGACACGGCAGAGGGAGATTCAGGCCCCAGGCACCTGGCTGGCCCAGGGTGATGCATTCAATCTATGCTGATGGACAGAAGGAAGAAGCAGGTGGGCTCTCCAGATCCAGCACTTGGGGGCTTCACAAGAGTGATGTGCAGGTGGGAAAGACCCTCCATGTACAATATCATGTCATTTGCAAATAATGACAGTTTTACTTCTTCTTTTCCAATTTGGATGCCTTTTATTTCTTCTTGTCTTGGCTAGCATTTCCAGTACTATGTCGAATAGGAGTGGGGAAAGTTGGCATCCCTGTCTTGTTCCTGTTCTTAGGGGAAATGGTTTTAGTTTATGCCCATTAAGTACGATGTTGGCTGTAGGTTTGTCTTATATGGCCTTTATCATGTTGAGATATGCTCCCTCTATTCCCACATTGCTGAGAGTTTTTATCAAAAATGGGTGTTGGATTTTGTCAAATGCTTTCTCTGTGTCTATTGATATGATCATGAGACTTTATTTATGTGATATATCACGTTTATTGACTTGCAAATTTTGTATCATTCTTGCATCCCTGGAATAAATACCACTTGTTCATATATTGCTATATCTGATTTGCTAATATTTTGTTGGGGATTTTAGCATCTTTGTTCATCAGGGATATTGGCTTGTAATTCTCTGTCTTTGTCATATATTTATGTGGTTTTGGAATTAGGATAATGCTGGCCTTGTAAAAAAAGATTGGAAGTGTTCCTTCCTCTTGGACTTTTTGGCCTGTACAGGTTTTCTGATTCTTTCT